TTGACAACATATGCTGCTGTGTCCAATTTCAGAACGTTAGCATAAGCGGTTCCAGAGATAATAATATCCCAACGGGTTTTACCCTCCATTCCCGCCCATCCGCACGAGGGGCGCAGTCCGCATGACGTACGGAACCAATATTTTAAATTTTTGTGCCGAGTCACGATAGGCAGGAGTTTGTTAAGTGTCGAGATCTAAAACTGTTCAGCTACAGAACTAAATTCATCAGCTGATTTTATGTATTTATGTCAATAATTCACTTATTGAGAGAGGAGAGTATCGCTTTCTTAATGCTGAAAAGCGGATCTGATATATCAAACGTGCTGGAATGAGAGATAAAATCCTGGCATAAGCAACGGAGTGGGTCGTGCAATTCAAAATTGGTTTTACAAGCTTTCAGAAATATGGGACAAAAGTGTCTTGATACGCGTGAGGGAACATTAAAGCTTACATCAGCCAGAAGAGACGGACTTGAAATTGAGCCTGTCAGTAATTTAACCATAAAAATTATACCAAGCATTTTCCTGCGACTGGCAAGTGTAGGAAGGTTAATAAGTTTTAAGCGACTCGTATAAGGTGGAAGACTATATTGAGAATCCCATCGGAAATTTCTTAAAGAAAAAAGTAGGAATTGTTTTTGAATTGATTCTATCTTGTCTGAGTAAATTTGATACCTTGGATTCCAAACCACCGAGCCGTATTCCAGAATCGGCCTAACTAATGTTGTAAACAGGGTTTTAGTGATATAGGGGTCACTAAATTCTTTTGACCATCGTTTCACAAATGCAAGTACACCTTTAGCCTTGTTGACTGTCACATTAATGTGAAGATTAAAATTAAGCTTAGGATCCATTGTGATACCAAGGTCCACAAAATTGTATACCTGTTCCAGGTTATGGTTACCTATTATATAAGAAACTGGCAGAACAGCTCTTCGCGAGAAGCACATTACTTTACATTTCTTAAGATTTAGAGGCATAAGATTTACTTTACACCAGTAAAGTAAGTCTGATTGTAGCAAAGACCTTTCTTCAATTGAAACGTACGATTTATAAAGTTTTACATCATCTGCATACATTAAAATTTTGGAGAAATTTATATCTGTAGAAATATCGTTTATAAAAAGCAAGAACAGAATCGGGCCTAGGTGGCTACCCTGAGGGACTCCTGAAGTAACATCAATGACGTCAGAGATAGTATTTTTAAACAATACCCTTTGTGATCTATCATAGAGGTATGAAGAGATCCAACGTAGAAAATTAGGTGGAAGACCAAGAAGATCAAGTTTATAGATGAGCAACGAGTGGCACACTTTGTCAAATGCTTTACTGAAATCAGTATATATAACATCAACAGTTTTGCTCTCACTAAATGCTTTTGAGATATAGGATGTTAATTCAAGTAAATTTGTAGAAGTTGATTTGCCCTTGCAAAATCCATGTTGACTGTATGAAATGCTTGAAGTGATAGAATGCGTCAACCGATTTGTTATAATTGCTTCAAATAATTTAGGAATTGCAGAGAGCTTAGCTATGCCCCGGTAGTTCTCCACTGAAGACCTGCTACCGCTTTTATGTAAGGGGGTTATGAACGATTCCTTCCATACAGTTGGAAAAACGCCCTCTTTAAGAGACAAATTAAATAAGGCTGTTAACGGCTCATAGAGATAATCAGCACAATTTCTAAGAAAACAAGTGGGGATCTGGTCAGGACCATAACTAAAAGACTGCTTTAAGGACTTCAGGTAAACTAAAACATCATCGGGAGATATTATAGGGTTATGTATTGAGTTAATTGGACTTAGTTTAAAAGGATAGTCAAAGTATGCTTGGGAGTTAGTGGAATAATTGGATTTAAAAAACTGAGCGAACATGCTAGAAATTGTTTGATTATCACCAGAGACGGTATTTTGATACTTCATGGCGGAAGGAAACCCCCGTACATTTCGCTTGGAGTTTACGAAATCATAAAATGATTTGGGGTTATATATTATGCGTCGTTTGATTTTACACAAGTAATCTTTATAACACTTTTTGTTTAATTCAAAGAACTTGTGACGCAAAAGTGAGTATTTTACATAGTATGAGTGTAAGCCGGTTTTTTTGTGTAATCTAAAATAACATGACTTTCTGTTTTTCAAGTTTCTCAGTTCTTTAGTGAACCATAACTGCGTTTGTTCTTCAGGAACACACATGCGTTGAGGCACATACTTTTCAAATAATCTATGTACAGTACAATTAAAATGTGCAACGCTTTGCTCAACTTTTTCTTTGTATATAGACCACGACAATTTAGACAATTCTTTATTCAGTTTTTTAAAGTTGGCATTCGAAAAATCAAAGCGAATATTTGGTTCGTATATTTGGACATCGCAATTTTGGTTGGTTGGTTGCAGTGCTTCCTAGTCGCTGCCTAGGATACAATTAGCGCATTATTGCGCCATTTTGATGCACTTCTCGCGGGGGATATATATCTTGTCTATGCACTTCCTATGTTGCTAGGTCGAACCATTTCGACTCTCTAATGAATCTGCCGATTTCGCTAATGGTAGCTCCTGATAGGTCGGTTAGTTCTGCTACTAGATGTTTTCCTAACGTCTTGTGTCTAATGTTCGAAAGGCCTGGACATTCACACAGGAAATGCTGGACACTTTCTTCGCTATCTTCTAGTTGACAGCTGCGGCAAATCATATTATGGGGTAGACCTATTTTTGCCGCATGTTTGCCTATGGGCCAGTGGCCCGTGATGGTTGCTAAAATTCTAAATACCTCTGGCCTTGATCTGCTTAGCAGGTCCAAGGTTTTCGCCCTGTTATAGTCAGGCCATAGTTTTCTCGCTTTCTTGCAAGTCTGTATATCTGACCACCTGCGTCTAGCCAGTTCAAGGAAATGCGTAGTAATCTCTCTTTGGACTACTCCAAGAGGGCAACCCAATGCCACTGCCTGGGATTCATCCAAACCGGCTCCTGCCTTCGCCAACTCATCCGCCTTCTCATTGCCTTCTATGTTCCTATGTCCGGGAACCCAGACAAGAGAGACGGTATTTGACTGAGACACTGAGCGCAATATTACTTTGCATTCCCCAACTAGCTTGGATTTGGTAACCGGTGACGCTATTGCCAATAACGCCGCCTGGCTGTCAGAGTATATTGTTGCTTTACCGCTGTGTCCAACTCTATTGCCTAGGATTTTGCAGGCTTCTAGGATCCCTAGGACTTCCGCTTGGAAGATGCTTGTATTATTTCCCAACCGTAGAGAGAGAGCCACGCTGAGTTCCTTGGAGTAGACACCTGCTCCCACACCGGAATCCATCTTGGATCCATCGGTGTATAGAGAGATCTTCTCTCGGTCGGCCACTCGGTCTCTTCTCCAGTCCCTTCTGGATGCGAATAGCACTTGCACGTTACAGCTGAAGTCCAAATTGCCTACGATATAATCTGTCGTCCTATTTAAGTGCATTTGATTTATGATCAACCCATGTCCGAAGTGTCTAGTCCTCCAAAGGCCCGACTCTCTGAGTCTGACCGCCGATTTCATAGCCACTTCTTTCAGGTGGAGATCAATAGGAATTAAAATGAGGATGGCGTTTAAAGCTTCTGCCGGGCAGGATCTTAGTGCGCCTGTTACTCCTGCGCTTGCTGCCCTTTTTATGCTTCTTAGCTTGCTGACATTATATTATCTGCTTAGGCCGGGCCACCAAACTAAGGCGCCGTATGTTAGAATTGGTTTTATGATCGCGGTATACATCCACATCACAAGTTTAGGATTTAGTCCCCAGTTTCTACTGAAGATTCTCTTGCAAGTGTAGTATGCTATGTAGGCCTTCTGTCTACGGAATTCGACATTGGTTTTCCAGTTAAGTTTGTTATCCAGCACGACTCCAAGATACTTTGCGCTGGGGGTCAATGAGAGCGCCTTGCCGTCTAGCGATGGTAGCTTGAATTGTGGTAGTTTGTGTCTGTTTGTAAATAGGATAAGTTCTGTCTTGGCTGGGTTCACAATTAGGCCGCTTCTCGTAGCCCAGGCATGTAGCCTTCCCAGGGTTCCTTCAAGGATTTCGCTAATGGTAGAGAGGAATGGACCTGTGGCTGCTATTACAACATCATCCGCATACGCCACAACTTTGACTCCCCCTCTATTGAGTTCTAGCAATATACCGTTCAGGGCTATCACCTATAGCAGTGGTGAGAGCACTCCGCCCTGTGGAGTGCCCCTGTTCACATGATGTATAATAGAGCTAGCCCCATTTGTTGCCTGAATGATTCTATTGACTAGCATCGATCGTATCCATCTACAAACACTGTCGTCAACACCAATATCTATCAAAGAGTCTATGATGGTGTCAACCTCAATGTTATTAAATGCGCCCTCGATGTCAAGAAATGCCGCCAGAGTATATTGTTTAAAGTGCAACGATCTTTCTATTAAGCTCACCACTTCATGTAAAGCAGATTCAGTGGATCTGCCTTTGATGTATGCATGTTGTGCTGTTGAGAGTGTTGCTTCACCTAACAGCGATCTTATGTAAATGTCGAGAAGCCTTTCCATTGTTTTGAGCACAAAGGAGGTAAGGCTTAGGGGTCTAAAATCTTTTGCTATTTCGTGGTTTTTCCTTCCTGGCTTGGGTATGAACACGACTTTTACCCTTCTCCAGCTTTTAGGAATGTAGCACAAGGTAATAGTAGCCTTAAAAATAGTCTCAAGTAACGGTGCTATCTCTTCATTCACTCTCTGGAGCATTGCTGGGATTACGCCATCTGGTCCAGGGGATTTGAAGGGAGAGAAGCTGTTAATAGCGTAAATAATCTTTTCCCTGCTCACGATCGAGTTCAACAGTATACTGCTAGTTGAACCAGGTTCAATTGACCCTGATGTGGGTGGATATCGAATACATCCCGGGAAATGGACCTTGACTAACGTGTTTAGAGAATCACTAGCTGTGTTCGTCCATACCCCGTTTTCTCCTTTAATGAGTGTGATATTTGTGTGTTCTTTAGATAGGATTTTGCTGAGCCTGGCTGAGTCGTTAGAGTTCTCTATAGAAGAGCAGTAAGATTGCCAGGATTTAGTTTTAGATTTTCTCAATTCCTTTTTATAAGATCTTAGGGCGCTTTTATAAAGCGCCCAGTTTTTAGTTCTAAAGCAATCATTGTAGATTTTCCTTATTTTGTCTCTTTGGGCTCTGAGATCCCCATTCCACCAGGGTGGGGATTTCTTTCTTGCTGTACTAACTGGAGTTGATCTTTCAAAGGCTTTCTTCATAACCTCTTCTAGTTTATTTACTCTATTATCAAGACCCTCAACTGTAGTGACAGTTGTATTTAGTGGGAGCTTACTTAGTTTACGCTTAAGTGTGTTACTATATCTTTCCCAATTAGTCCTGTGGGGGTTCCTGTATTTCGAGGGGGTGTTGGAAATTCCGTGCAGATTAAAGAGGATCAGACGGTGATCAGACATTGAAGGCCTATCATATACTCTCCACTCTTCTACAGACACGCTGTCATTCTCTGACAACAGGGTTAGATCCAGCACCTCCTCCCATCCAGGAAACCGGTTTGAACTCGGGAATATGAATGTGGGTGTATTACCTCTATTGCAGATGCTTAAGTTAGTATTTAATAAGAAGTGTAGTAAAGACTCACCTCGGTCGTTCTCCGTAGAACTACCCCAAACTGGATGCCTTGCATTCGCATCGCAGCCGACGACTATAATTTGTCTGGGGTTTTTGGCTATCATCTCCTGGATTTCGGTTGGCGGACTGTCCCTATCGTGGGCCATGTATGATGAGGCCAGGAGTATACTTGGCTGACCGGTGGTCTCCACCTTAACCATTGTTGTATCTGATGTGCTGAAATTAGAGCAAAGGAATGCATTTATACCGTTCTTGATAAGAATACACGCCCGCGGTTTACCCACCTCGCTCTTATAGTAGAGTTTATAATTATTTATGTTTAGTCCCATGACTGTATCGTGCTTGACCCAGGGCTCTTGAATTAGGCTAATGTCTATATCCTCCTCACTGAGAAGGACAACTAGATTATCTGTAGCACATTTGGAGTGCTGCAGATTTATTTGGGCTACTTTAAGTTTCCGGTTCAGGGTCATCTGTCAACTTCACACCCATGAGAAGCTCACCAGCTCCATCAACCCCGGGATCTTCTTCTACCGGGCTAACCTCTCCGAGCAATACCCGCACTCTAGCCTTACGGATACCGAAGCAGAGCCGATAGTCAACCTTCTCTAAGGCGTCCAGTGATTCTGCGCAAATAGCTAGCAGAATGGGCTTATTTGTAGGCCTTCTTGGCTCTTCAACCTTTATAAGCTCCCATTCCTCGATCGCCGGTATGTCTTTATTATGTAGCTTAAGACACCGCAGCAACTTTTCGCCTGGTTCATCCATCGGAGGCAGCCAAATGCGTGCACGTGGTCTCCTTGGAATGTCCTTAGCTAGAATCAGCTTGAGCTTCAAGCCGACAAAAGTGTCGCTGATCTTAGCGACGCATCCAGCAAGGAAATCCAGGGAGAACTGGTTCGCGCACTTGACTACCCGGTATCCCCGTAGGGATTCCGACGAGTCGAACTCTGTGTGAGGACCTTCGGGGTTGTCGAGTATGTAGTTCATTACGAGGCTCGACAGCCTCACATCAATCTCCACCCATCTTTGCTGCACTGCCAGCGGTGTCTTGCTATTTTCATCTATTATCGCCGCCTGTAGGTGATCTCTGGCGACGTCACTAAAATAGCGATGCTTCGCGGGTGCTGCGGACTCCGCATCACCTCCTTGCTTAGCCTTCTTTGCAATGGCCCCTTGGCCGCCTTCATTATGAGAGCGGTTCCGTTTCTTTGCTTCGGTGGCCTCGATTGTGGCTGCACGATCTGTCTGTAACTTTTCGTACTCTTCCACTATTTGCATGTATTTTGCCTTGTCTTCCTCGTCACGCTCATGTACCGTACCGGCCGCTGCATTTTTGTCAATTTTATTTAACATATACAGCGCCTTCTGGTACATCTGTCTCATGACCACGCCCGAGGGTTTCCTTTTCTTAGAGGCGGGATTGCTGCCTGCAACGGCCGCCGATTTGCTGGTTGTTGGTTGCTCGTCCGGAGTACTACGGCAGGCACTACCGGTGCTATTTTTGACTATTTGCAGAGTGGTGATACTTTGTCTGGCATCTTCCACCCTGCTGGTTTCTGGCGCTTGTACAACTGGGGTACTATGGCTGGCGCCACCAGGAGTACTTGCAACCATCTTACCTCTCTTTGGGGATTTGAGGAGCTGCTCCTCCTCTGACAGCGTTACGTCGTCCCCTTCTTCGTTGGTACGCTGTTCATGTTGCTGTTGTTGGTTTGTTTGTTGTTTGTTTTTTGTTTGTTCTTCCATATGTGGTCCCACGAGTAGTCCGGAAAGGGTTAGTCGCTCGTCCGCAGAGCCGGGATGCGTAGAGAAGGCACTTCTTACAATCGACCTTGCCCGGGCATCGGAGGGGACCGTACGCGACCAGCCATTTTTTACTACCCGCTGGCCATTCATCCATCGGCACGGTTGCCTACACACCTTGGCTTGGGTAGTGTTGGTACGGTAATCCTGCCATTTCCACCTCCAGCAATAAAAACAACACTCCAGCTTGGATTGTTAAGGAATATTGCCGAAGGCTTCAATACCAGGCTTCCCTCTTAGTTCATGGAGGCATGATAAAATTCACACTGTGAATTATACCATGACACCATTTACGCCCCCTCGCCACGTCAAGACGACCAACGTTGAGGAGGTCGCAATTTTGACCATCGTTTATAATTTCGTAAGATATCTCAATAGCAGGGTGGTAGACATCTTCGGGCAAAACTAGTGGGTCACATTTATTTACAGCCGACTTAGATGCATCATCAACATAAACAAGATCTAATACTTTGCCAAACTTATTGCGAAGTACATTAACTTGATTCAGGCAGAGTTCTGCCATCTCCTCTAAAAATACGTTGTTGCACGCGCTAGACGAGAAAGGTACAATATCATTGTCAATGATGTTCCATGATACATTTGGTAAATTAAAGTCACCCAACACAATCAATGAATCAGAGGGTTTAATCATTGAATTAATTGATTTCAGTAAAGATACATGTTGTGAATACACTGATAAGTCAGATCGGGGAGGAATATAGCATAGAGCTAAGTAAGTAAACCCCCTTCCAACCTGAACACGAATGCATTTGAATTCTGCAGATTCAATGTGTGGAAGACTAACTTCTTCAGATGGTATTGAAGAGTCTACGGCAAAGAGTACGCCACCGCCGACTCTGTCCTCCCGATCTTTTCTGTATATATGATAATTATTTGAAAGAATCTCTGAATTAAAAGTGTGAGGTTTGAGCCAAGTTTCAGTCAAAGAAATTATATTATAATTGCATTCAAGGCCATTAAGATATAAATTCGTTAATTTAGTATTTATGCCTCTTACGTTTTGATAATAAATACTTAAAGCAGATTTAGTAATTAGTTTTTTGGTTCTGTATTCTGACGGGGAATATTTGCTAAATTATTATTTTTGTTGGGCCTATACTCAAATTCACGAACGAAAGCTCCGGAGGGCCAAAAAGATCTACTAAGCAGCATGTCAAAATTTTCTAAATTTACGTCTATTTTAAATGAAGAAATATTTCTTTCATATTTAAAATTAAATTTTCTGATACTTAAGTTAACAGTTTTAACTTTGGACGAGATGTAAAACTTTATATCGTCCTCGGAAGTATCCCTCGAAAATCTAGATACAAATATAGACTTCTTTGGGGGCACCACAACCAGTCTCCTAGTATCAGACTCGATTACCGGCGGACGGGGTTGAGTAACTGAGTTACTAATTGAGGGTAGAGTAAGCGTTGGAAGATTAGATGGCGGTGCCAAAACTTCAACGGGGGACGGGGAAGTTACTGCAGGGTCGTTATTATTAGAAGCAGACTTTGATATATGTTCTTTTGAGGAAGATAACTCCGTTGCCTGTGGACATGGAGAAGAAAGATTAATTAAGTCATTCGGAAGATTGTTCTGACGTGGAACGGTCCTTTCATTAGGCGGACTATGAAGACGCTTACGTTTTGACACATGAATGTCCTTCATAGATTGTACGGTATCTAAGCATTTAAAAGATTTAAATACATTTTCATAATGTTTAATTTTTTCGGTCAATACCGACAACTCTCTCCCTACCTCAGAAAACCCATTTCTGGTTTGCCTAAACAACTTAAAGAGATCAACTTCGGTTGACCTGTACTTTAAGCAACACCAGCGAAGGCCTTTGCCATCATTAATAGCGTCCAGAATTCTTCCTGTCAAACTAGCACATTTTAGATGGCAAATACCATCACAGAGCCAGCACGATAAGTAGCGTTCAGATTCGCTTTTGATTTGGCAGTTATCAAGATCACACTTCATATTGAAAGATTTAATAACACTTATGTTAATAAAAAGACAAGCAAAATAAGTTTAACACAACACACACAACAATTTAGGAGCTGATGTATTTAGCTTAAAAATATATGTAGCGAACAGTTTGAGTATCACTGTATTGTGACACTTAATAAACGCAGCGCAAACAGCTGTGACAAGAAATACTAAACGAAGTAAACAAAAAGAGCAAAAAGAAATGTGCAAAAATAGAAACGATCTCAGTTAACTACAAAGGAATAACAACAACAATGATAACAACAAATGACTCGGCAAGATTAGATGTAAGCTAGTGAAATTTAAATTAATTTAATAAAAACCACAAAAATCACAAACTTTCACTTAGCTTCGGTTATTATCACACTAAGATGCTCGTAGGCACTTTTTATAGCAACTTTTACTTAAAAATTAGCACAATAAACTTTGCAAAATACAAAGACCAATCAAGGCACAATATAAGTAGAACTTCACAGCTTGACGTTTGCGGAATAGATAAGCGATATGAGAATCTCAGTTTGTATGGGCGGTGCCACGCCCCCTTTTCCAAAATCTACCACTTTTCGCCGTAAGTACGGTATTGACATCATACGTAGCTGTGTCGAATTTCAGGATGTTAGCTTAAGTGGTTCCAGAGATAAGCGATATGAGAATTTCAGTTTGCATGGGCGGTGCCACGCCCCTTTTCCAAAATCTACCACTTTTCGCCGTACGTACGGTATTGACAACATATGTTGCTGTGTCCAATTTCAGGACGTTAGCATAAGCGGTTCCAGAGATAAGCGATATGAGAATTTCAGTTTGTATGGGAAGTGCCACGCCCATTTTCCCAGTACCTACCATTTTTCACCGTGAGTGGGGTATTTACAATTTATGCATCTGTGCTAAGTTTCAGCTCTCCAGCGTAATTGGTTTTAGAGATATAGTGGTTTTCACATTTTAGTCTATATGCCAGATGCCACGCCCCCTATGTATCGAGGTTAACATTTCTGGATTAGAGGACGTTATATCCTTTAAATCGGTGTATGTTTCATTGAAATCGAGCGAACGGTGCCTTCAAAAAAGGGATTGTAAAATTTTCTTGTGGCGTATTTATATATAGATTTTCATTTTGAACAACCATCTTATTTTAATAGCAACCATATCCCCTGACAAAGCTTCACAGGGCAGAGAATGTACCTTTTTTGCCTTGCAAGAGTGTGAAATTTTAAAAAACGAACACACAATTTTCTCACCCTTTGCCTTTAATTTAGAATCGAACACGAAAACAGAAAGGGGCAATCAAAAGGCAAAATTTTTTGGTAGAAACGAAATCACCATAACTCTATGACTTGTATGCAAAACTCTTTTACAATGTCAGTAAGTTGTGAAAAAAGAATTGTAAGTTATAGGCGAAAGCCATTCGAATATTTAAATTTGTTGTTAATAAACTGATAGTTATTTTCGAGATAGCTAGCAACACGTCGGCCTTATTTTTTAAATAATTTAAGCTCCGTCATATTATCGCAACTGTTACGTAATGACTCGGCGATATGCCCATAAAACGATTGATCTTTTTGTTGTATTAATTTCTTGGGCACATCAAACATTATCTGAAGCATGTCAACTATAATTAAATTAGTTTCTTCTTACTTTTTACAGTGCAGCTTAAGGAACTTCCAAAGTTATGTAAAACCCTTAAGAAAATCCTAAAGTATTTTGTTTGAATTGAAAATTCAGTACAAATCAGTACAAATTTTGAAAAATCAGGACATTAGTGTATTGATTGAAGAAATTAATAAAATCAGTACAAGAGTTGAAAAATCAGTACTTTACTGATAAAATCAGTATCTACGTCTGGCAACCGTAATTTGAAAAGGCGGTTCCTAAACCATAAATCTGTTTTAAATAATTTTAGTGTTTTGTTTCCAAAGTATGATTTTAACGAAAAAAAAACTGAAGAATTGTTTGCTTTCTATGAAAAAGTAATCGACTGCTCGAAACAAAACTTTCTTCTGGAGGTACAAATGTGGAAAAAACGAGTTTCACACGAACACCGTTCATTCGTTGGTACAATTTATGGAAAAAAAGAGAAAAAGAACTTGTCCGAAGAAGATATGAAGGATGTTGAAGTTGTAGATCTATTAAAAAAAAAATGAGTTTCTTACCAGCGATAAATAAGTGTATCTCCATTTTGAGTGCTTTTCCATGCACAACAGCGACTGTGGAGCGATCGTCTAGTACGCTTCGTAGAGTAAAAACCTGGCTCAGAAGAACAACAGGGGAATAAAGGCTTTCTGGACTATACCTCGTGAGCGTCCATAGAAAACTCGTTACCGAAAACCGCGAGAGAGGAAATAATTGAAAAATTTTCTGAAAACCCTAAACGTTTGTTATTAGCATAAAAATGATTAAATAAAAAATATATCAAAAAATTAACAAGTATATCTCGCTTTGCCACTCCCCCCCCCCTTCCCCCCTCCATACATCTGCTCATGGCTATGCCCTTGCTGATATAGCTACATATAAATAAATATAATAAGGAAGTATTCGATATGCATAAATAGTTTGGATGTACTTACATGTGGATATATTAATAAAATGAATAGGATAATTTTGCAACAAGTTTTATATTAAATGTATTAATAAAGTAAAAATGAATGCACAGAATTAGAAGCATCTTTCGATATTAATTTTACGTGGTAATGTATTTGAAAAAATATTTTTTTTTTTTTTTTGTAATAGTGCATTTTTATTATTAGAAACAATTACTTTATAATCCTCGATGGCTTTATAAGTTTACTCGCAGGTGGAGGCAATTTACGAAAACCAGTTGCATCGAAAACAGGAAGTAATTCACGTACGCGGCTCGGCTTATTTCCATCAAAAATTCTAAATAAATTACATATTTTATAAAAATGTTGGCAAGTCTGCTGTAAAACAAACAGTTTATGTAAATACCGTCTTTTATAGTCAATTTTTGCACCTTTCATTTGAAGATTTGCTTCTGTTGGGAAGAACGTAGCATCATAAAAGTTTAACCCATTTTGCAATAATATATTGTATTCGTCCATTGAGGCCAATGTTATTCGAATGACGGCTGCCGGTGATTCTCTTCGTTCGGATTTCTCAGTTACTTCATTTCTGCTGATAACAGCACCTAAAAAATTACATAAAAGTGTTTAAAAATGACTGTGTCGAATAATTGCGTTCGTATCATTGATGCTTTGTAATTTCTATAGTCCGAATTTCGTTTCATATGCTTTCAATAGAGTTCACTCTATTTTACACATGATTTCGCTGATGAATGAAATCGATGTGAATAAATTCGAATGATGTCGTAATGTAAAAAGAAGTTGTCGAAAACCGCCTCTCACTACCGCAATTAGTGATGGACACTATCAAATTGACAAAAACGGGCCTTTGCTCGGCTGCCCAGCGGGACCTGAATACAACACAAAATCGCATTCCTCCTATACACACAAAGTATGGCCGAGTACTCTAGTCATCGTACAGTTTCCTAAGTAAAAACACTATCAGCTGATTGCCAAAAAAATCCTACAGCTGATATTTCTTAAAAAGAAGGCTTACAGCACATATTGTGCAATATGCTCGAGTTTGATTGGAGGTGGATGCTGACGGACGAGATTCTTCGCGTAACTAAACTTTAAATTCCATACAGCTTTCCCACGGCGAATGTGATTTTCCCCGTTTTCACGACCATTATTCCTGCCATCCCTTTTTTGTTCTAAATTCCCGCAAAACGGGAAAAATTCCCTCTTCTGGCAACGGTGTTTACGACGACGCACATAAGTACAAGGTGACTACCCTGCAAAAATTTGAGGACCAGGTGGTGTACTGGGACGTAGTTTTAAAGTATATGCAAAAGAACCAGGTTGCATACTAGCAACTTGTTATGCTGACCTGGACCACTTCACCAGGGTAGCCAACTCATTTTTGAGAATTCTCCGATTTCGGTAATGAAATTCGCCGATTTTGCCCGAAATTTCATAAAATTCCCCGTCCATGGAAATGTCCTTATTTACAAAAAATTTTTATGTATTTTCTGTTTATTTTATTTTTAAATGTAATTCATCTATACTATGTTCATAATCCAAACCAAACTTTTATAAAGTTAGTTAACGAATAAAGAATAACATATGTACATTAGGCTGGTTCGATTTTGTATGGGGGAAAATAAAAGTCATTTGACCGCATTGTAATAGTAATATTATAATGTCTTAGGCCTAAGCCAATTGTTATTGGCCAAGAAAGATTAATTTAAAACTTATCTTTAGCCCGCGCAATTGAATCAAAGTGTATGAATTTTTAAAATGAAACTTTGGCTTGTAATATCTATGGAATGCGTTATTGTTAAAAACAGGACGATATATCAAATTAAGGGCTATTAAATTTAGTACCTCACGTTCGTTTATCATTTTTCAATAAGTCTGCATGTTTTTAAGATATTAAGAAAAAACTTCCAAAAACTATAATGTTCCCTTATAAATTTTCAATTCTTCATTACTTTAGCAACCAAGTAAAAAATACAAAAAAGTGAGACGAGATTTATTTCAAACGTTTTAATGTTTTCGGATGTTCATATAATATTAAAATGACCATGGACTTGGTCACGCCGATTTGGTCAGTTTTCAAAATCGTAGTGAATGAATGTATTGTCAAAGATTAGGAATCGTTTGACAAGTAGTAGTAGTTTCAAACATATCAGAATTAACATACATTAGCATAATACAATTAGGGTGAGAAACGCCCATTTTAAGTCCATTTTTGCAGTCTTGAAAACTGGTGCGGAATGGTTTCATTAGTCGCAGAAGAAGCACATTTTTCGCGGTTTCTAAATTTGCCGTTATATGAAAGTAGGGGACGTGCAATAAGTGTTTATATATACATAAATATTTTAGTTAATTCCATTATGTGAAAAAGTGTCTGTAGGTAAATGCAATAGTCTTTAACATATCCTGGGAAATCCTTTTGAGGACTCTCAAATTGGACGATACTGCTTTGCATTCAGCTTGAACGAAAAAAGTCACTCGCTGCCACAGTTTTCTGTAATCCGGTTCTTTTATTTAAAGGTTATTTATATAATTTAAGAGACATTTTTTTAGAAAAAAACTGGAGAGCCACTTTAGTTTTTGGATATAACTTTGGTAAATGTTACTCGATCGGTACGTAATAATTAACAAATTGAAGGCGAGACTTACTGTTACTGATTTATGATAATAATATGATGAAAATCGTTCAGATTATTAACCAGTTATTTTAATATAAAAAAAATGTAAACAAAATTTTTTTGTCATTTTGCTATTTTTGCAATTTTTAAATTGTATGCATAGAAATAAGTAAACTAATTAGTGTTTCTAGAAGTTGTGTCTGTTCAGTGTTTCCATACTCATTTGCATAAACAAAAAACAAAATTTTTCCACGATGATGGAAAATAATGGCTATTCTATTAGAGCTACCGAAATTGTTTCTACATTTGCAAAAATCCGCAAACTATAGCTAATATTAAAAAAAGATTAGAGTATTTGGAACTAGCGAACTAAATGCCCGCCAGCAATATTAATGCTGTTCTTTCATCTTTTGAGTATATGCCAGTGCAATTATCAAGAGAACAATTAAAATTTTCTTGAAAATAGATAAGTTTGAGATTAACGATAAGCTAAAGTGCTGCGAGAAATGATATTTGACTTTATCTTTTGCGTTAACGGATTCATTATCTAATAATATCCACCAACCCTTTTTACTGAACCCAGAATTTTTAACAAGAATTGGTCTTATTCGGGTAGTGTGCTGTGGGTCACTTGGCGGTCGATGCGCGGGCTCTCACAATTAAGATAAAATACTAATATTTTCAGGCTTGTTCTTGACTTCATGATACAATATATTTTAACTATTACCAAGGGATTTGAGAAAAATTAGATTTTCGACCCGCCCTAATGTACATATATTTAAAAAAAAAGTTCAAGGAACATTCGTAAAAATTTCGGGATTTTTAAATAGATTTTCTAGCAAGATTTTGAGTATGCAGTTTTTTAGCCCACTCAATTTTAGCATAATAAAGTGCAAGTTTCAAGTGGCTGAAAATTTTGGTTTTTTGGTTACAACTGCATGCTCAAAACCTTTCTAAAAAAATCTAAATAAAAAGCTCGAAGTTTTTACGAAAGCTTGTTGAATTTGTTTTTTAAATAGCGCACAAAGTTTGAAACTTAGATTTATACGGTTTTTGTTAAAGGATGAACTTATAAAACTCAAAAGTAACAAAAAAATTAAAATAAAGGTACATAATTGCTTATGTCACAGCGCCTTAAAGTCCCCACAAAAAAAGGTCAATTCCCCAATTCCCCACGAGTTGGCTTCCCTGCACCTCACACGTAAAAAGCTGATATACATACATATCGTCGGTGACACTGCCAAACTTCTATGTCACTTATTACCTTTGGTGCTTAATTGGTCTTTTATCTGTATCTGATCGTTTCTGGCAATCGTTCATCATCATCAAAGGTAGACCGTTTTGTCATTCGTTTATTGGGGGGTAACGATTTGCAGATGCATTCCGGTGCAAGTAAGAGACCATCTAAATGGCAAGGGTATATAATAGACATAGATTGCTGTATCACTGACGATATATGTTAAACACCACCTCTTCGTGGCCCATCGGCAATTTGAATCGCTTGCCGAATGTGAATATTATTAAAGCGAATTTTAAGAAAATGCTTTTTAAATAATATATTTTACTATTTAAAGTTAAAAAAACACCTTTAAAAATGAGAAAATATTCGGTTTATACAAAATCTTATGAAGTTCAGTCCATGGTCCAAAATGAGTTGTCTAGGTGGTCCTATGTTATGCAACGTTGGACCAGAGGTGGTCAGGTCCAATGACATCGCCATGTTAATGTAACCATATTTTCTTCATATGTTTGGGCCATTTTGGTTACTAGTGTTGGTTACAAGGTAGCGTGGCCCTGTACGAGTATTTAACCTAGTCCCACTTTTTGCAGGGTAAAAGCCTCTATACCTTATCACACATAACTTTAAAATACTCTTTATAAACCAGTCCACAATGTAACATAGGGATTTTGACTTTTAACACAACGCAGTAGCTTTAGCACAAGCGCAATGTTGGCTTTTCTTTCGCTCGTCGAATTATATAATTTTTTATTTTTAAACGGTGATAAAATAATTTTTCGTTGATATTTTATTCTTATTAATAAGTTTTGTCAACATGGATAGTGAGGTATCAGGTACGTACTTAAGTTTGCGATTTTTGTCAATAATATAGTTGTTTGTAAAATGGTTATAATAGACAGTTTATAAAATGCCTTTTTTTAACAACCTTTTTAACACCCTTTTATTAGCTTCACCTGTATGTTTGTATGTATATATGTTTGTAACCGACTCCTTTGGACTCGATTTTGACCCACTTTAAACGGACAGATTTTATTCAAGCTTTGTACACTTATCAAGAATCAGCGACAATATAATAATTTCATAAATTTATCTCATTATCCTGATTAGGATCGCCAGGATTAAATAATTTCCTCACACAGCCTCTGTGTGAGAGCAAGTGAGACAACTACGCTGTCTGCGCATGCGTACCGTCTACTTACTTTCCGACTCGAGCACTCGGCTTATTAGTGTTAATACATTCTATCCCTATCAGTTGCACAGTTGGCCAAGCGGGCTAAGGCGCAAGTCGTAGGCGCGAGGCAACGAACTTACCAGACGTGATTTCAAATCCCGTCTATGGCTGAAAATAAATGATGTAACGCTATCTTCCACTGCTTGACCGCGGTACTGATATTAATTGCAAAGATGAATTTGGCAATACGCCACTTCTTTAAGCAGTAGAAAATAATCATTTCGATGCTGTACGAGCATTATTCAATCGCGGAGCCGATTGTGAAAAATAATTTAAATGTTACACCCCTGAGTCTCGCTGGTTATATTGGAAAAATAGAAATCTTTGAATATCTTCTAAATCGCCGTGCCACTGTTAATATAACTTGTACTATTAATGACTTAGAAGATTACTCGTTGCTGCACCTCGCTGTCGTTAGTAATAGTAATCACGGAAAAAGGATGATCGAGCATCTTCTAAAATAAATATAGTTTAAAAAAACTAAAAAAGACGCTTTTA